AGAAATTAACATGTCGATTAAATCGACTCCTCCCATATGTGCATTATACGCCTGTATGACCTTCGGTCGTTCTATGAGAATATGTTTCTTTTGTTTTGATGACCATCGTTGCACTGAGTCAATTGGTTCACAACCGTGCAATATAGAAAGACAATTAATAACATTATTATCATACCATCGTGTCACGCATAATTGCACCTCTTCAACTTCTGTGACATGATGATCCATTGTACCCCTACCTTTCCTTGATAAATCTTTTTCACTTTTGATGTTTAAATCAATTAATCGATTTGGTCTTACCGTACCAACTGCAAAAATGCCTAACTTTCTCAACTCTACCTGTAAACGAATAGTTGTAAAATAATTGTCAAAATATACTTTGTGATTGATAAAACGTGGCACAGTTTCACAAAGATCCAATACAATATCTGTACCAAATCCATGCTTCTTTTTATCATTTTTACCTGTATAGAAAATAAAGTCATGGCATATACTACTTTTGCCACCAACTAAAAGAAACATTTTATAACCCCAACGATTCTGCTTATTCGGCATATGTTGCTTCATTATACTTTTGCCTTTAAATGGAATAATTTGTTCATCAATGCTTCATTTTTCTTCTTTTGAAATTTTCCTAAAATTTTCTTTTACAATATTTAATAATGGACGAACTTTATTGGCTCGATCAAAATTTATATCTGTTCGATTTGACTGAACTGAATTATCGGTAACGTGTAAATATTTTTTGATTTCAAGAAATCGATCTCTACTCATAACTGAAGATATAGACTCAAAACGTGTATCACTAGACCAAAAATAACGTTGTTTTGGAAAAGAATAAATACCTGTCATCAACAATATACCAATGAAATATTCCATTTCTGTTTCTGAAATACGTACCGGTTTGTTAGGATTTTTTTGAACAGAGTATAGATTTGATTGATTTGTCAAGAGTGTTGTTGATTGCTTGCCGAATATACAATAAAAGTAGTCGATCGGTTGTAGTTCATCATGAATAGGTGGTGGTGGCATACTGTCAACAAAATCAGCTGCTGTAGCTGCAATTTTTTTTGACCCAATGCATTCTTTTTTTCTTTTTCAATTTTTGATTACTTTCGATCTTTTCTTCACTTTCTTCAATAT